AACCAGCCAGGAAGTAGTGGACATAAGAGCTAGGGTGTTTGTGAGGCAAAGAGCTTAGCAGAGAGATCGAGGAAAGAGACCACCCAAGAGAGTCCTGTTACATCACTGTCGTCCCAGGATGACTGTGCACATGCCCAGAATTGCAGTTCTCTGAGAAGCTACATCATAGGCTTCACAGTGCATAGAGTAATAGATGTGATAAAAAAAAAAAAAAAAAGTCAAGTCATTAAACAAGTAAACAAAGCAAACAACAAAAACAAGCAGCGGGGGGAATGGGGGGAAAGGGGAGAAAATGAGCACAGGATCAGAGAAATATGGGACAGTATCAAGTGTCCTAACAAGGGGTGCCTGGGTGGCTCAGTTGGTTAAGTGTCTGCCTTTGGCTCAGGTCATGATCTCAGAGTCCTGGGATCGAGCCCTGTATCAGGCTCCCTGCTCAGTGGGGAGTCTGTTTCTCCCTCTACCCCTCCCCCCTGCTCTGGTGCTCTCTCTCTCTCTCTCTCAAATAAATAAAATCTTAAAAAAGAAAAGTGTCCTAATATTTGCATAACAGGAGTACCAGAAGGAGAAGAGAGAAGCAGGAAAAAAAATATTGAAAGAAGGAATGACCAAAAACATCCCAAATTTGATGAAACATTAATCTACATATCTAAGAAGCACAAAAAACTCTAAGTAGGATAAACACAAACAGATCTACACCCAGACACATCATAGTAAGAATGCGTAAGAGAGGGCAGGTAACAGGAAGGGCAGGAAAAAAAAAGAAGAATTTGATAGCAGCAACATAAAAATGATTTGTCATGTAGAAGGAAACCCCATTAAGTTTAATGGCTGACATCTGGGACATCTGGGTGGCTCAGTTGGTTAAGCGTCTGCCTTCAGCTCAGGTCATGATCCCAGGGTCCTGGGATCAAGTCCCACATCAGGCTCCCTGCTCAGCAAGGAGCCTGCTTCTCCCTCTGCCTGCCACTCCCCCTGCTTGTGCTCTCTCTCTCTCTCCCTAATAAATAAATAAAATCTTTAAAAAAAAAGTTTAATGGCTGACATCTCATGAGAAACAATGGAAACAGTGGAGGCCAAAAGGCAGCGAGATATCATACTCAAAGTGCTAAAAGAAAAAAAAACTGTTAATCAAGAATCTTATATACAACAAACTATCTTTCACACATAAAGGTAAAATAAATATATTCCCACATAAACAAAAAGAATCTGTTGCTAGTAGACTTGCCTTACATGAAATCCTTCAGTTTGAAACCAAGTGATCCCAGACAGCAATATGAATCCATACCAGAAACCAAAGAGCACTGGTAAAAGTAATTATGTAATTATAAAAGACAGTATAAGTGCATATTTCTTCCATTTCTTATTTAAAAAGCAGCTGTATAAAACAGTATTATATAATTGCACTATTAGGCTTATGACATACAGAAATGTAACATATTTGACAATAATAACATAGGAGGTAGGTGAAAACAAAGTAAGAAAATGGAGTAAGAAAATTACACAGATGGCAATGTGAATCCACAGGGCCAAATAAAGAACCAGAAATGATAAATAGGAAGGCTAACTTTGTAAGAAATTCTATAAATAAGAAATTCTACTTGTCCTTTCTTTGCTTAGCTTCTTTAATAGACAAACAATTCTATAAAGTAATAATTATAACAATATATTGTTGGATTTGTAGGATATATATATGTAATATATAAAACAGTAATAGCACAAAAAGGAAGAAGAGTGAATAGAGAAATATAAAGGTAATATTTCTGATCTCACTGTGATCAAGTTAGTATAAATCTGAAGTAGATTCTGATGAATTACATGTATATGGTAAGCTCTATGGGGCACCCCAGTGGCTCAGTTGGTTAAGTATACGAGTCTTGGTTTTGGCTTAGGTCGTAACTCAAGGTCATGGAACTGAGCTCCATGTCAGGCTCCAAGTTCAGCATGGAATCTGCTTGGGATTCTTGCCCTCCCTCTCCCTTTGCCCCTCCCCCTGCTCATGCTCTCTAAATAAATAAATACATAAATTTAAAAAAAAAAAAAAACACGTATATGGTAAGCTCTAGAGCAGCCACTAAGAAAATAAAGTCCAAAGAAAGTAAAAGAAAAAAATCATTAAAGTAACTGAAATAGTACAATGGAAAATATTCACTTAATGCAAAAGAAAGCAATAAAGGAGGGACAGAAGAACAACAAAGACATGGAGACATGTAGGAAACAGAAAGCAAATTGGCAGACATAAATCCAACTACATCAACAGTAACACTAAACGTGAATGGGTTAAACAATACAATCAAAAGTCAGAGAGATTGTTAGGCTGGATGAAAAAACAAGATCCAACTTTAAGTTGTCTACAGGAGACACACTTTAGGGGGTCTGGGTAGCTCAGTCGTTAAGCATCTGTCTTTGGCTCAGGTCGATCCCAGGGTCCTGGGATCGAGCCCCACATCGGGCTCCCTGCTCCGCGGGGAGTCTGCTTCTCCCTCTCCCACTCCCCCTGCTTGTGTTCTCTCTTTCGCTGTGTCTCTCTCTGTCAAATAAATAAATAAAATCTTAAAAAAAAAAAAAAGGGAGACACACTTTAGATTCAAAAATACAAATACACTGAAAGTGAAAGAATGGAAAAGACAGATCATGCAAATAGCAACCATAAGAAAGCTGTAATGGCTATACTAATATCTTACAAGGTACTTTTTAAAGCAAAACAGATTTCTAGAGATAAAGAAGGACATTTTATAATAATATAAGGAGAACTCCTTCAGAAAGATATGAAAATTAGAAACATATATGCACCTAGCAATAGAGCCCAAAATGCCTGAAGAAAAAGCTGACAGAAATGAAAGGAAAAATAGATAATTCAAAAATAATAGTTGGAGCCATCAATATCCTATTTTCAATAATAGAAATAGGAAGATCAACAAAATAGAATACATGAACAACATCATAAACCAACCAGACCTAATAGACATCTACAGAACACATCAACAACAGCAGAATACACATTCTTCTCAGGTGCACATAGAACCATCTCCAGGATAAACCACATTCTAGGCCATAAAACAAGCCTCAACAGATTTTAAAGGATTGAGAACATGCAGAGTTAGTCCTCTCACCACAATGGAAGGAAATTATGTATCAAGAACAGAAATTTGGGAATTCATAAATATGTGGGAATTAACCAACACACACCTAAATAATCATTAAGTAAAAGAAAAAATCACAAGGCAAATTAGAAAATACTTTGAGATAAAGAAAGCAAAAACATAGCAAACAAAACTTATAAGATGAAGCAGAAAGCAATGCTTAGAGAAAATTTTATAACTGTAAATGGCTTTATTAAAAAAAAAGATCTCAAACCAATAACCTCATCTTCCACCTTAAGATATTAGAAAAATCACAAACCAAACCCAAAGCAAGCGGAAAGGAAATAATAAAGATTAGAGAAGAACTTAATGAAATAGAGAATAGAAACACAGTAGAGACAACCAAGAAAACCAAATGCTAGTTTTTTGAAAGAGCGACAATATTGGCAAGCCTTTAGCTCAACTGACCAACTACAGAAAAGACTCAAATTATCTTAATTGACAAAACTTCTGAGGACAATATTACTTTACACACCATCAGGTACATTAATCACCATGAATCAGAGACACTTTCAGATGTGTAAGCTATGTGAAAAAGCACCTCAGCTTGTTGCGCTTTTTTTCCCTGTTAGGTAAACAAATCCACCCTAAATTACATTTCAAGATCCGTGAAATTTGTCATTTATCCCAAGTTAACTTCCTCCTACACCCCAACACACACACACTTTTGCTTTGAGAGGCTCCTTCCTCAATTTCAGGGCCCATTACATACCTTGTACTTTCTTTCCCATGACACCATCAAAGCAGGATAGATTTGAGATCAGTTATTTGCACTTGTGTTGATTTACAAATTACACTTTCAAATTCATTCCTACACAAGCATACTCTCACCAGCATTCATATTCTGAGTCTGAGGTACAAAAGTGTGGAAGGAAGAAGGGCTTTCCTATATTAAAGATTAGTAAGCCTCCACACAACCTTGCCAATGGCTACCATAAGCTGAATCAAGTAGTTCATGTCAGTCTTTTGACTCAAAACATAGATGGTAAATAAATTTGATTGCTTCAATTAAAAAACATTGGAGGGGGAAATATGGGCAACTAGATATTTCCCTACAGGTCATTTGAATTGTTATGTTTATTTTGTGTTTTTCAGGGACAGATGGTTGGAGACTACAGGAAGCAGCAGAAGTTAAGTCCAAGACGATCCCCTAGCTGCTCAGTACCAACGGCATCAGGGGCAGAGGCTGGGTACCTGCACCCTGCTTTCAGGACCCAAACACAGGCTCTACCAAGAGTGCCAGGGCGCCTTTTGACTGGCTTCTCATCCACAAGAAAATGAAATCTTCGGAGGTCATCTTTAGATGTCAACTACTAATGAGGCAACACCTACAACCCATGTTAGGCGTGTGTGGCATGTTTTAGTCGAGAAGAGAGAAGTCTTTAAATATGCTACAGTTTTTGCAACCATGCTTTGCCATTTCTTCATTTTTGCATAGGAGAAACTACAGAAAGAAGAATCCAGGGCTTCTCTCCACTTCTTAGAGGCTCTGTCCAATGCTGCCCTCCTGTGGTGCGGGGCTCAGGGCAGACCCCAAACCTTCACAAGCCCCCACGCTTTTCCTCACTCTGCTGCCATGCCCATCCTTTCTCTCCCTGCACAAGGCTCTACCAGGATCTTCCTTTGCTGCCATTTTCAGGGATACTCGGTGTGATTTTTATTTGTATTTAATGCTTTCGTTATTACAGCCTCTACCCAACACATCTAATATCTAAAATCTACCCAACACATACTTCTTGCACCTGTATGATTTCTAACTTAGACATTGTGCATCCCCAAATCCCTCCAAATTAGGACTATGAAGTCTTTAGTTTTACAATAATTATAACAACAAATAACATTTATTGAGTACTTGCTTTGTGCCAGGCACTCTACTGCTTTACATAAATTATTTCATTCTGTCACATCTAACTGCTTCTAAGCATATGCTTACATTTGCCAGTAGCACTTAAAATTAATTAAAATATATTGTTGATTATCTTGGAAAGCAATGTCTCAACATACTAAAGTAAAATCCATAGAATAAAATATTTTAAGGTCTTACAAAATGTACAACACTAAGTTATTATAGGATACTATTAAATTTATGTTTCTATCATGGAAAATAAAGCTATTTTCTGGCATGTTGTACCCACTTACTTTTAATCCTATTTTTATGCCTTTCTCAAACTCCTAGAAACCAGAGCTTCTAATATGTCAAATAAATACAATTAGATTCATACATTCAATTTGATCCTTTGAGAAATATATAAAGTGATTTAGTTCTTGCATTAACTCCCAAATTGTTTTGTATAATAACCAGCCTGACATTAATTGTGGCATGAGGGCTGAGAAACAACATGAGATATGACTTTTACTAATCCTTCACATTCCATTTTCAAGCCGTATGCTGTTCCTGATCAAAACTCTTATTTATTATCAAGAATTACATTATTCTCTGAATGAGTGAATTTTCTCTCAGAGACAGGAAATGAAGGATCGCTAACACTGGGAGTGTATTTTTCCTGTCTCAGTATTAATGCATGATATATATTCATATTAATAACAACTCTGAAAACTAGTTTCATTTCTTCTACACATAAGCAATAAACAGTATGTGCAAAAATCTGAGTCCTAGCAGCAGTGGTGTGAATATAGAATATTGGGTTTCTTTTGAAGGTACAGCCATTTCTAATATTTCATTAGAGCATGTGTAGAGGCAACTGTCACAGATGTCCATCAAAGCTGGATTAGATGAAGACAAACAATGCAGGCTTTGAGGATAAACTGTAGCTGCAGCTCAAAAGTTTCCGTTTCTCATCGAAGGGCACTATAGGATCATTGTCTTCCTCCTTGAGGCAAAAAGAATGAATCAGTTATGTTACTGACATCCCTCCACAGCAGACCGAAAAGTCTTTTTTGCAGTCCCACAAGAGACAGTGAGAACAAGATTTCATAAGAAAATGTGGAAATTTCACAAATATCTTCACGCTCAAGTTTGTCATCTCTGCAATTTTCCCATAAAGTCTACCATCATTTTATTTCTGTGGCAGAATCTACTAGTGCAAAATTTCACAGAAGTATTTTCAACAGAAGTAAATGCTTGAACTACTAAACATTTCTGTACCATGTTTAATAATAAAATTCAGCTTTAAGTTATTGTCATTAACTTCCTGTATATTAATCACAGATGGTAACTGCTTGCACACAAAGACCACTTCTTGCTAGCCCCCAAATAACTTTGCAATTCTATTAAGTAAATGGATAAATAATAAATACAAAATAATACATGACACATAGTCTTTTTTGAGAGAGTGAATTTCCCATTTAGGAAAAAAAAACCAGCTAAGATTTTAGTTCAATAACATCTATTCATGTTGCCAGCGATGGGAGTGGCAAAACCAACTTTCATATAGGTGCTGCACATTAACAGGTCCACTCTTTTGGACAATAAATACCTATTAAAATTCAGATGCATATACTTTCTGACCTGAAATTATATTCCTAGAAGCTTACTGTACAGATACACCATCCAGTCATATGAAGATTTTGTGTCGGGATATTCACTGCAGCAATTAAATGACTTCCTTCCTTAATCAAGTATAGAGTAGGACACAATAGAGTACTTGAAAAATGTCCACATAGGCTATGTGTGTATGGATGTATTATACATACCCACATACACGTGTCTGCCCACATATGCATATGTGCATACAGATACATGCAATTTCTGGAACAATTTATTAGAAAGTATTTGTAATGTGGGGTATATTTTTCCAAACTACATTTCAAAGAAGATATAGTCCTAATCAAATCTTTAAGATCTCAGATAGAACTTCAAAGGTAAAATAGGACTTTGTGTATATATTTGACAATTATAACCAAGCAAATTTTAAGTCAAAGTGTCTCAAATGAAACTGATAATCAAAATTGTGAAGCCACAGCATTTCAGAGCTAAAAGGAGCCTAAAGGTCATGATGTATACATTTTCTGCAAAAGAAAAATAACCTGGAGTCCCCCATTACCTAAAATGTGTTCCACATAAGTAAAAATTAGTTGGAAAAATGAATCCGTGTTCAAAAAAAACAAAACAAAACTGGAAACTCTGGTTAAATACAGTAACATATGGTTCTTATATGTAAAACCACCTCAGAGTTCTTATATACAAAACCACCTAACATGCTAATGTGCACTGTAAATCTCCTAAAGGAGGTTATGATATTCAGGATTCTCCAAATTTGTAGACTATCAGCTCTTGACTTAACAAACATCTTAATGGGTATCTTAATGGCTCCGCAGAACACTTTTGGAAAAGGCTAGTCGACAGGAATATATATTCCAAGTTTACCAGAGTAACGAAATTTCATCTTAAGAATATATGAAGCCATTCTAAAAATTAAACTATCATGGTCCAAAATACCAATTAAACAAAAGATAGTTAATATGCAGTCTCCCTAATCATAACAAATTCAGGTCTTAACACAAAGCATTTTAACACTGAATGTTCATACACCCAGAGTGCAAGAGATGCACATGCCCGTTGGTGTCTCGTTCATTTTGAAGTTCTAAGGGTCTGATGTAAATGGTTCTCAACAGATGCTAAGTGAATTCTGGTCTATCAGAGTGTGGACTCTTCCTGGTAAATTTAGGTACTCTGCTAAAATCTCCCTCAAGAAGAAACTAAAGATAATAATGCCCCCTGCTTGTTGGGCTTATTCTCCTCAACAAGGCACTGTGAGGATGATCTTTATGTTAGCTCCCCCCAAAGATGGATGCTTGATCTTGTTCACTGCAGAGAACAAGTTACCTGGGAAAATATTTCAATCGATTGCAATCTGCGGTATGGATTTGGAATCAGGGAGACCAAGGTTCAAATCCCAGCTCTGCCACCAACTTGCTGTGAGATTTTAAGCAATCTACTCGCCCCTTCTGAGCTTCGGATGATAGCAGAACCAGATAGAACCTTCATAGGGTTGTGTGAGAATGTAACAGGACAACAGATAAAAGGTGACAACAGTGAGTCGCAGGCACATAATTGAGCTACTAGTGAGGATTTCGGTTGATTCTACAGACATCTCACGAGCTGAAAGTTGAACTATCCTATGGCCTATTATTTTCCATAGCATGTGTTCAAAATTTACTTTTCAGAATTTCAGAGAAAGTTTTCATGGAAGGAAATTACACTTGATCTCATTTGCACTGTGTTCCCAAGGTCCAATGCAATATCTGGCCCATAGCAAGCACTCCAAGAAAATCAAGTGTGTGTGTGTGTGTGTGTGTGTGTGTGTGTGTGTGTACATACATTAAAAAGTATAACAAAATGACAGGGACAACTTCATTATATAATTTTAATTTTTAAAAATTTGTATCAAAATTACACATTCACATAAAGGGTTAAATAGTTTTAGAATGTTTCTTATGAAAACTAGCAGGTCCCTGTCTCTTATGCCACCAATTTCCTCAACTCTTTTAACTGATTATTTCATTTACACCAAAGAGCTAAATAGTGTAATTGTATTACTCCTTTTCCATTTTTAGTATTGTCTCTTGACTTTCCCCACGGAGAATGAAGATTTGACCTTCCTTCCTCCTGTCAGACACCCCCCCCTCCCCGCCACACACACACACACCACCCACATGCATATAAACCCTTCCTTCACTCCATCCTTCCAATACGGTTATGTAGTAACTATGGCTGGATCAGTTTCTATTCTATTCTTCCCATTATTGTGATGATGTAAATCTTATCCAGAGCTGAATTATGTGTATTAATGTATCATTTTCTTCCTGCACTTCTTTTCCCCTTCTGGAGTGAATAACTGTGATTATCTTGGGGTTTTTCCACCTTAGTTTTCTATGTACTGAATCCAAAACTACCTCCCAATCCTCTGACACTCAGGAAGTTAAAGGCATATCATACAATCAATTTCTAGAACCTTCTCATTTGCTCACATCTGGACTCATGACTCCATCCCTACAACCCTACTTCACAAACATTCTGGGCATCTCCTTTGCCGGATCTCCTGGTTCCCAAATTCCCCATCTGTTTTCCCCATTTTGGTGACGCATATCTTCTAGTAGCTTCCTAGGAAATAATCTTCAATGATCTTGATATTTAAAAATGACTACTGTAAGTTTGACTGGGTAAAAAATTCTAGATCAGTTGTAATTTTCACTCAGAATTCATGCTTGACATTTGGCTTCCAGTGTTGCTATTAGTCTGATGTTCAAATTTCAGGTTCTTTCAATGTTTTTTCTCCCTGTAATTCCTCCCTCCGTGTCTAGGAATTTCACAATGGTAGTGCCTTGCATTTCGATCAACCGTGCTGGAAATTCAATGGGTCCTTTCAAACTGTAAATGTATGTCCGTGAGTCCTGAGAAAATGTTTAAATGATTTTGTTGCTGCTTCCTCTCCTCCATTTTCTCTGTTCTCTTTCTCGTTTTCTGATTATTTGGACAATGGACCTCCTGCGTGGGTTCTCCAATTTTCTTATTTATCTCCTGGTTTTGCTCTATTTTCTAAGAAATTTCAGTTCTGCTTTCTGATTCTACTATAGAATTTTTCATTTCTGCTATCATGTTTTCGGTTTCCAAAAGCTTTTTAGAATATTCCTTTTCTTCACAGCATCCAGTTCCTGTTTCATGGTTGCAATCTCTTCCCTTACCTCTCTGAAGATATGATCACTTTTTTGAACTTTTCCTAAGTATTTATTTCTTATATCTTGCCTTCTTCTATTTGTTTTGGGTTCTTATGTATTATATGCCTTCTTCAAATGTCTGTAACTGTTCATACCTAAGAATGGGAACCACCACCATAAAAACACCACCACCACCACAACAAAAATCCAGAGTGGAGGCTCCGAGCACACAGAAGGCACTTATTTATCTGTCCTGCCTTCACCATAGAAGTACCAGCTGGGCCATTTCATTAAGAAGTCCCTGGGGTTCCTCAGATTCTCCAGAAAGACCCTTCCAGCCCCCAGTCTAGAGAGTAGAGGCCTTTCTGCCAGTGTCCTGGAGGCCAAGTCGGGGAGGAGCAAACACAAGACATGAGGATATTATTTAATTATCCTATTTTTCAGAGAGGTATCCTGATACTCAATTGCACCTAGGTCCCCTAATAGGCAGATTCTCTCTTCATCAGCTTTTAACAACTACACAGGATTCCAGCCTCCTCTCACTCCAACTTCTAGAGATTATCTGTTGCCACCAATTCCTGAGATTTTGAGAGATTATCACGTAAACAGGCTTGTTCCTCACATCTGCTAAGTCTGTCACCTCACAACCATCTGCTTCCAGCTTCCAAAATATTTTTGCTGCTGTCTCTTTTGTTTTCTCTATCCTTGGAGGTTTGTGCACTTAAAAAAAACACACACACACACAAAAACCTTTCCTGTTATTTTAATGCAATTTGTGGTGGAAAACAAAATTAATTGCCTACAATCAATGGATTACCATTATGTGATACAAAAGTTCTTTTTTATACATTTGTGTATTTTCTCAAGTTTCTACCATAACTATATTACTTGATAATCAGAATATATATTTATTCAGAAAAGCCATCTAAAGAAATGATACTTTCAATATACAAAGGCAATCAGACTGACTTGCTCCCTGCTCCCCTTTGGGACTTCCTTCAAATACCCATTTATGTATATATAAAAAATAAGAAAGCTTAACTCTAAAAAAGAATGTTCTGTTATACGATGATCACTGTTCATAACGAGACCCTGAAGTATGGCCATATCCTAAGAAGTCCTCTAAATCATCTGGTATTTCAGTATAATTGTAACAGATGCTATCTTTCACATGTATTTCTGAACCTTAAATTACCTTCCATGAAGAGACCCT